AAAAAAGCCCTATCCATATGATGTCTGGATGAAAAGACAAGGCCCTTTGTAACTCACTAATGCAAACCTTTCAAGCTTGGAAGACAGAACACACTAGTTCACAACCCAAATCAAGACAGATAATAAATAATGATTTGTGAATAACATGTAAGAGATGAGAACTAGCATTTAGGGTTTATTATGTTTTCCTATGAAATATGCTGATGCTTTGAAAACAATGGATTATGGATGGTTACAGAACATACAAGTTGGAGATTTGGCATATATGCCAAGCACAGCAAGGCATGTTACCTTGAGGGCATTAACCATCGCTTCAGGCTGCTGAGAAGATAAGGAGGCCTGTTCATTGAAGCTAGCTGGATGGCTCGGAGAACAGACATTCCCATCTGCCTCTGATGGCATCCTAATGGGATCCTTAGTAAAAAAAAATCAAAAGCTATTTAATAGTAAAAAGTAGGCCAAGCTAATCAAATAAAACAATTCCCATACCCACCCTTTCTCTTTATTTTAATTCCCATTGGGCAAATACAAAATCCACACACACACACACACACACACACACACTCATACAATTCTAAAACGTGTATCATAGGCCCTCATAAATATGGTATTTGGGTGAAGTTTCTACATATTTCTGTCATATCATGATAGTGTCAGCCCTATCAGATAGACCAGCTTAAAAAACAGATGTGTCTGCCTAAAGCTACTTTTATTAGAACAGTTGTAGCATAATAACCTTGAAGTTTGAATCTGCTTTCCTCCTTCTTTTATCTCCATGAGAATTGGGGAGGGGTCATTTATATAAATCTCTTTCTTGATATGGGCTCAAATTACATTTATCTGATTGCTTCCTTGGTAACAGATCTTCCCACTGTTCATCAAGACCACATTCTAATCTATAAGCTCTACAGATAACAACAAGACTTCATTAGTCTTAGAAACAAAAATTTCTAACTTCAGTCCAATACAAATTACAGCACGTTTTTAAATCCTACTGCAACCAAGTTCAATTTAATATGCCTTATTAATTTTCACAAGATTTAAGCACAGCTGACTCCATGAAATTCAGACCCAGTGTTTTATTTTCACAAACACAACAGGACCACACTGTATTAATATAAGATATGGTATCCATCATTATCAGTAAAAGGGAAATGGGTTTATGAAAAAGTCTCAGATCTAGTAAACTACACACTGTACATTAAAATGTCTGATTACAATCTCCATTTTCCAATGATTTTACTTGTTTTACACAAATCCCTCTGAAAATAAAGTTCAAAATGCTTCCTGCGGTGTTTAAAGGAGTTCAAGGTGAAACTGCAGTTGCTGGGGCAACCTAATCCAGCCATTTGCTTTGGTAAAATGCTAAAAATATCCTTACTGCAAGGAAGGTAATAATAGCTTGGCTAGTCACAACCAAATCAAATCGGATCAGATTCTTCAGAGATGCTTGTGATATTATCAACCAGATTTGCCTCTCCTCCACCCTGCCATTTAATTAAAATACTGAGGAGAAACAGTTGTGGGGGAGGGGAAGGAGCAAACAATCTTAGTTAAGGATTGTCTTAAGTCAGAATGAACATTTTTTTCAGGCCAAGGGGGAGATAATTTTCCACAATGAATGAATGAACAAATGTAATATTTTGACTCACTAGTTTAATTGGCTTCTCTATCTAATTTTAGAACATGTGTGGAGAACAGATCACATTTTAGTTTGTATTTATGCAGAAATAATGAATATTCAAAAGGGTTCAGAAATTTGCCTCTGGTTTTTGTATGAACAGTTTGCTTTTGTGCAAGCTCAATTCTTGCAAGTTTTGGAACATCTTAAACCTGTCTGAATTTAACTCCTGCCCATTAGCTCTGTCCCTATTTATCTCCACAGCATTTTACAGGAGTTTGCCTAAGTAGTAAATGCCTTATTCCACCCAATTGCTTAGGCATTTTATTATGCAAGTTAAAACAAAGTTTTTCTTATTTTTAATAAAACTCATTTTAAATCACAAGGTAAGGCTGATATTCTCTAGCCATCTATCTCAAAGCTATTGGGGCCAGATATATGTTACAGAGTTGATTTTCCTTTTGTTATCTCTATTATGCCCAGTTTATGGCTGAATAAATTCTCAGGCTGTGAGAGAGTTTCATTTCTATCACATGCTGTCTTCCACCCACCCGACCCTGGGAAGATGATGATGGAAGTGGCAAACTATTATACCAATGTAGCCAGATACTTTGCCATGCACTCCAGGAGAAGAGAGGTAGAAACAAAAGGGGCAGGTCGAAGAGTCAAGACTTTTTCACCCACAGCATTGCCCTCAACATGTCAACTATTCACTACTGCTGCTGTCAAACCCCCACAAGGCAGAAAATATGCTCAAATTCTACTTGAATTGAGCTCCAAAGAAATTTGCAAAATGGTGAGCTATCATAATATTGTATAAATGTCTCCTAAAATTGGTATCATAGCTGCCTTTCACTCAGACATTTCCCACATCAGTCGCATACACTCTCACACAAATACACTTGAAGCACTGTCAAAACAACTAAAATTACAAGTATAGGAATGTACATGCTAGTTAAATTTCAGTGTTAAAAAAGAAAAATATGTATAAAAGTATGTATGTATGTATGTATGTATGTATGTATATGTATGTATATAAACAGGGAAAGGGATCTCTTCCATAATGAAATAATAATCTTTTTATGGGGAACAAGAGAAGAATAGTTTGATTAAGTTTAGGCCAAATACCTATTGGAGAATAATTACAATGGTTGTTCAAAATCTGGGTAGCAGAAGGACCACTTAAACCTGAATCGAGAGATGATCTGTAACTCTTATGACCTGCAGAGAAAGATTCATCATTTTTAAAGTCCAGCTGATGATGATCAATACAAGTTTGGTGCCAAAGCACTATCTATAATTAATCCTTATACTTCTATATTCTGATACTAAAGCAATAAGAAAGATATTTTTTAAAAAATATGTGGTTTTAAAAATATATATTAAAAGGCTGCATGATTCCCTTTCAGATGCAGACCACATCACTTTATCAACACTTACATGACTTTGTACTCTCCAGGCTAAGGTAATAATAATGTTTATTAGAATTATTATTTAAACAATACTTGCTGCAGTAATATTTATCAAATTATTTGCCTTCAGGAAGACTTTAATTTATTTGCTAAATAGCAAGCCCGTTTGGCATAATACCAAAAGTTATACAATATAAAACGTTCTAGTTCTTTTCTTGGGCAATTGTGACCAGACATTCTGTGGATGTCCTTATATGTTTTCCCTATATATTTATAAAATATAAATGGATGCCTAATTTAAGCAACATGATTCTTTGTGGTGGTTGAGGCGTACAAAACAATTAAACAAAATATAGAAGAAAAACCAGACATGTCATTAAATAGAACTAAAACAATTCTAAAGGTGGGGGGAGGGTCATTCCAAAGGGCAAGGATAACCATCAAGAAGGCATACCTCTGGGTCTAATAAGGTGACATTGTTTCAGAGAAGAGACCTAGAGCATAGCCCTATTGAACATAAGGGATAGGCAGATACCATTGGAGACAGAGGGCACTCACCAGTAAGTTTTAAAAGTGATAACTAGCACTCTGAATTGCTTCCAGAAGCCTATTGGGAGCTAGTGGGGTGTTACAAGATCTAATGATCCATGCCCAAAATTACTGAGGCTGTTGTTCTGGACCAACTGAAATCAGATGGTCTTCAAGAGCAGTACCACGTAGAGTACATTGCAATAATCCAACTGGGAATTGACTAAGGCACGAATGACATAAAATATAACTGGAAGAAGCTGAGGAATGCCTTTCCTTCCTTCCTTCCTTCCTTCCTTCCTTCCTTCCTTCCTTCAGCAGACAGAGGCTAATTAATAACAATATAAAGCAATTCTTTATTAAATTATATCTAATTCTTGTTACCATTAAGTTACCTGAAGCCATTTTAAGGGATCAGGAAACTGGAAGCAGATAAATATCCCTGAGGGAAATTTTGACAGGGAAAAAAAATTATGCAACAGTTTAGTCATAATAGCACTCAAGGAAATCATTTTCATTTCTTTAGAGCTGACACTTAAAAACTCAGATTATGTCTGAGTATACTATATGTTCTGGAAAGTTAATTATGTTTTCCTCAGTCTTAAGCTAGAGCAGTATTTCTCCAGATTTAGGAGCAATTAAACCTCAGAAGCTCCAGCTAAAAGAATCCCAGTTAGAAAGTAATGGGCAATTCCCCCTCTTTCTCTGATGCTAATACCAGTCTTTTCTATTTTGCTGTTCTCCAGATACATTAAACTTTAACTGCTGTCCTATACCTACTAACCAGTAAGAGATTGATGCTAGCTAAGGATTATGGGAATGTTAGTTAGTTCAATATAGTTGGAGGGAGTAATATTCTGAGAAATTGAGCAATGGGCCAGCAGCCTAATGCAAAATACTGAATGTGATACATTCATAGATCCCAATACAGTAGACCTAGGAACAACCCCTCATTCAAAGACCAAATCCTGAATGAGTGATACTTATGACCAGATTTCAAAGTTTTGACTGCTGCAGTACTCCCAGAGTCATGTGATTTGGGTGCTTGGCAACCATTTGCACTTAGGATAGTTACAGCTTCCCACAGTAATGTGATCACCCTTTGCAACCTTCCCTGTTTGGCATCCCACAAACAAAGTGAATGAGGAAGCTGGCAGGTATTGCAAGTCGTTCCTGCTCCCATCATTGATAATTAGCTGGTAATTAACTGATAATCAGCACAATTCATGTATTCCTCATTAACAATCTCATGGCCCCAATGTGCCAGTTTCTAGGCTATTTTCATCACAATTCCTCATAAGCATACTGCAGTGGTTATCAGGATATGGACAGATGCAGTAACTCTAAATGTTTCTAAATAGTCTCATAATTGGTATATCAATCTAATCTGAGAAAGATACTTAGCACTTGTGCTTTCACAAAATTATTAGTTCCTCTCCCCATCAGCTCACATTTTTCCTAGCTAAACTGAGAAATAAGGTCTCAAATGACATGAAATAATTCAAAAGCAGAAAATGTGAACACTCACAAGCTTTGTAGAGAAAAGGCACTTTATCAGCCATGCTGATAGCACCATGAAGAGAAGCTCCCAGTAGCAATTTGTAGACTGCATTGCCCATGTAGTGGATATGCCAATTTACTTTGCAAATCACCACACAAAGGGACACAGAAATATGAGGGCAAATTCACAAGAGGAGGTATGACTATTTCTGCTTCTCTTGGGAGTTTTTGTTTCTATGTACTCTTTATGAATTAATGGAGCATTGGAAGTAGTAAACTTGACAAGTATATTTGAGAAATAGAGGATGTGTACTGATTGGTTCATATTCATGTTCTTAGGTTCTTCTCTGTGC